GACCTTCCCGCGGCCCCTCTCACCTGCCCGGCAGCTTCGCGCCGCTCCGCTTCCAGAACTGCTTCCTGCCCGCGTCGCTGGCCATGGCGGCCGTCACCTCATCCCCTCCCCGCAGCGCGGCTCCCAGCCCCGATCCGCTCCCTCAGGCTTCACACTCCCCGTTCCCTTCCAGAGGAACGGCACTGAGCGCCGCCATCTTGGGACTAGGAAACAACCCCGCTCTTCATTCGCCCCCGAAGGCGGCCCGGAAGCTTCAGCCAACCAGAAGTGAGAGTGCTGCCGGGTGGGCCAGGCTGGGCCAATCGCAGCGAGGGAGTGTCTGGGGGGGGCAGGAGGGAGCTTGGCCTCGGTCCGTCCTTCCCGTCATGGAGGCAGCGCCGCAGGGCCAGCGGCCAGCCCCGCCTGCCTGGGGCGGTCGGCGCGGGTGGGCAGAGGCCCGAGGGAGCAGCTGGCAGCCGACCTGTGCCAGGAGCCTTGGCCGCGTCCTGTCCCCGCTGTGTAAATCCAGGCTGAGGCTGCCAGCGTCAGGGGGTCTCCTCGTCGTGGTGTGTGAGGTACCTGCCTGTAACGGTACAGGGAACAAGAGCTCTTGGCTCCTGTCTGTGATTAACTAAAGTATTCCTGTATAGTTAGTTTTTACTTAATGGAACTCCGAGTATGACGTTTCCAGGCTTCAATCATGTTTGATTTAGCTATAGAGAGTAATTCAGAGTACTCTAGGATGGTATTCAAAACTTGCCATGTCAATGAAAGAAGACAGTAATTAAACCTAAGAAGACAGATCTCAATCACACTAGATCTAACATAACAAAATACATCAGGTTTTTTCTATGTTTGTATGTTTATTACAGCTGGGGTGCAAGGGGATTTCTCCACAAAGCTTGCACACTGTCTCTGGCGAGTAGCCAAATATTTATTACACCAAAGCACGCATGTGCATTAGGAAAGGCCGGGTTATTACATTTAGTTCGGGAAATAGGTGTGATTGTTACAATTATTTCTCGGAACTCATTTGCATAGTCTGAGCATGCGTAGTACAAATAGGGTGAGGGTCTTTGGTGGTCAAAGGTAGAAGTACGTGGTCTTCTTCATGGTGTCCGCTCTTTTCAGGGCAGGTGCTGTGAAGCAAAGTCCAGGTGTCCTCTTCCTAAATGAGCGAGATAATCCTCCCTAGGTAGCATCTCTGAGTCCTTTTGTTCAAGTTTAAGTTTGCCTAAGTGCACATTGAGGGCTTTGAGTCTGCTATCAATGAATTATCTTTTTACTTCCAGGGCTACCTGCTACTTTCTTATCATAGCCAGTCCCCAAACTATCTGGTAAGCTACACTGAATCCACAGAAGTCTGGGCAAGTGGGATTCTTAGGTAACGTTCAGAAATCATCATATGTTGCTATATGTAAATAATTTGTAAGGAAAGTGGTCATTTCTCTCTATCAGTTTCACCCAGTCACCCAAAAGGGGGACTTTAATCTTTCTCAGCTTTAAAGTTCTCCTGAAAATTGGACTCATCCAATCATTGTATCCACTTTATTGGCTTTGAGGTGATACAAGATTGAGAATCTTTGTACATACAAGTAGAGCTCTCAGAAATTCTGATCCAAGCATGCATCACTTCTGCAAACAAAATAGACATGGTTTTATGTTACTCTTTGGAGTATGGATCCTGAGAAAACAGTGCTGACTTACAGTTTTTTTCCTGCATCCTAATGCAAGACAAATTTGTCAAATATTGTTCAGGGAACATTCTGCCATAATTAACTCAAAAAATGGCATGTAGTGCAAGACTTGACTTGCAGCACAACATTTTTTCTTTGGTATGTATTCCATATTATTTATTAAGAATAAAAAATAATTACATTTTCTGCCTGCTTTGGGATTTACTTTAGCAGTTATCTTCTAAGAACTGACAAAAATAAAGTGTTTTGCAGATCTTGCAAGATCACAGTCCAAGAGTGAAAGCTACCTGTCACAGTAATTTCAATGCTACTTATAGATATATATGCTGTGGATGATATCGTCTTCTCTACTTGTGTCCTTTAAGTAGGATCCTTACAGGTTCTGTGACCTTGACTATCAGCAGCTTGAAAAGAATACACAAGAAATGTAATATGAACTACATCTATTAGCTAAAGTAAAAGTGAAACCTACAAGGTCATGAGTGGAGCACAGGTCTTATGAGGAGTGGCTGAGGGAATTGGGGTTGTTCAGTCTGGTGAGAGGAGGCTGAGGGAAGACCTCATCGCCCTCTACAGCTACCTGAAAGGAGGGTGCAGAGAGCTGGGGATGAGTCTCTTTAACCAAGTAACAAGCCATAGGACAAGAGGCAATGGCCTCAGGTTGTGCCTGGGAAGGTTTAGACTGGGTATTAGGAAGAATTTCTTTACAGAACGGGTTGTTAGGTGTTGGAATGGAGGTGTTTAAGAGTCAGGTTGTCATAGCACTGAGGGATATGGTGTATTTGGGGACTGTCAGTGTTAGGTTAATGACTGGACTGGATGATATTCAAGGTCTTTTCCAACCTAGATGAGTCAGTGATTCTGTGAACTTTGGTTCGTATTAGCTAGCTAAATTTAAATTAGACCTGTTGCTGTTAGAATACAAAAATTAGGTACTTTTGATTGTGACTGTCAAAAAAAGTTATAAATCCATAAATTTACATTCTATCATTATTGTTAATGTGGATGTTGAAACTATGTTTATGGGGGTTTTATTTGTTCATTGCTGATATTTGTCAAAGGGAAACTTAATTAGATTCAGCCTAGATAGCCTAAACCATCTGTCATCCTTGTAACAGTTGACCTGAATCATGAAGTATTGCCATGTAACTTCTGTGTCAGTCTGGTGAAGCCATGTGGAACTTCTGGTTCATTTTAGAAGTGTAGGTTTTCTTGGATTACCTAATAAAGTCAGTACAAAGTTAACTGTATTATTTGGGTTTCATTATATTCGGTATATTTTACTTGCATTGTGCTTAACTTTTTAGTATAGTGCAGAATTTTGTACTGGAAACAAGTAATTGTTGCACTGATTTGTGCAGGTGAATAAATCTGACCTGAAAACGGGCCTACAGTTATATCAAGAAGAACTGGAAATACATAGCTACAAAATCTCAGTCTGCCACTGTAGAGAGCCTGTGCTAGTTTAGAACCTTGGACTGGAGTCATCTGGGATGGGACTGGGTCCTCTCTGTTGTTGACTTTCAAGAAGGCAAGTACACTCTTTTCATGGGAATTTTTGTTTCTTTAGAACAAGAAATACTAAAAGGCTTACTGCACTATTTGTTTTGTTTCATGCAAAGTTGTATGCAAGAATTTATAGTTAGGAAGAGGTCTGTTGCCAGCATGGGCAAATAATTTATTGAGCTAACAAGAGGTTTGTGGGCTGGGGTTTTTTTTTTGCTTTTTTACTTTCTTTTTTTTTTCTTTTCCTTTTCCTTCTTTTTTTGTATTTTTCCCTTTTTCCTTTTCATTCTTTTTCCTTCTCCCTTCTCTCTTCTCCCCTCTTTCTTCTCTTTCTAATCTCCTCTTTGTTTGCTTTTATTTTTCTTGAGTGTTTTTCAGAAAAAGTCACAGTGTACAGTTGGTAAATTTTGTTGGGGGTACCCAGGAAATTTCTGTATGTTCTAAAATGTAGAAACATGGCCATGTTCTTGGCTGATCAATATTATGAGTGTTGTAGTTTGCACTGGCAATGTTTTGAGCAGAGTAGGCACTGAGATGTTTATTTAGTGTGATAGCTGGTGAGCTATATATGCAGGTGTTTCAGTAGACATTCAGTTATAACAATTTGTTTTTCAGCTTGTCTGTTCTAGAGAGATTCTGCTAATATAGCTGTGTGGGTATGGTTGCACAGGTAGACTTTTCTGTGGAGGTGCAGTGTATCTTGCAAAAAGAAGCTTTTCTGATAATGCATTGGAAAGTATGGATTGATGGAAAACATAATTAACTACGCTGACAACAGCACTCCCCTGCTAACTTAGCTACGCTCACACCAGAAGGATTTGCTGATAGAGTCATGTAAGCTAGGGAGTGTGCTTTTTCATGCTTATCCTTACATTGCTGTGTCAGCAACACACTGTAATATAGATGCAACTACAAGGTGTGGTTTAAACTGACTTATTCTACAAGATAACAGGACTACATTCTCTATATGCAATTTTTTGTTTGCTTTAATCAATAAGGAAAAAAAAACTAAACTGAATTCAAATGAGCCATTTCCATGTTGAAACATTAGTTTCTGCACATGTTTTTATTGCTTTAACAAATTGGTGGAAGTGCTTCTGAAGGTAGCACACAGGACTTTATATGGTGGCTAATCAATTACTGTTTCTGCTTGGTCCATGTACGTGCCTTTCTACCAAGCTATTATATTCATATGCTTTATTATAAATATCATGGAAGAAGTTCTTTAAAATAAAATTTAGCAAAGGGAGTGAAGTTACCAAGCAAGCTAACCCAAAAACCAGCATAAAAAAAAAAAAAAAAAAAAAAAAGTAGAAACAGAGAGCCACTTATACTAGGGAAGACAACAATCCCAGAGGGTGCAGTGCTTGGTGACAAAAAGATACATGGGAAAGTAAGATAAATGGGAGAAGTAGTCATGTAGAACCATGGAGAAAGAACAAAGAGATATTAAAGAAGAGGGATAGCGAGCTAGATTGAAGGAGGTTAGACATGGTCCAGCGAATTACAGAGTCACAACAGCTCTTTCAGTGCAGTGCAATTTTTCTCCAGAAAATTGGAGAGGAAAACAGGGGAAAGGAATCAACATGAAAGAGTCATGGCCAGAAGGAGTCATCATTGCAGACAAGCAGTCATCATAGCATATTGTAACATTTTCTGTGTAACTGGCATTACCTATTGCACGTGAATTCAACAAGATTTTGAAAATAAGAGTGGACTTGCCAAAATATACTGACGCTGGGGGTGCATATGTATGGAATTCTGCACACTCACATTGTATTCAGTAACAGCGAAAGAAGACTTGGCTTTTTTTTTTAAGTATCATCTGTAACTAACTGGAATGTAAAACCTTATTTGGGCACATAATATGGAAGTGAGTAGGGCTCGGAGATCCCTTAAGTTTCTTTCTGGAACAGCTATACTCATCTCTCTAAGTGGCCTCCCTTTTTTTTCTCTTTTCAAAGTTTTTATTATTGAATTTTTCAGAGAAAGTACCTGAAACTGTGTCTTGTAACTTTCTCAGCATTATATACTTTTTGGTTATCCTGCTGCTGCTGTGACTGCTGATACTGACCTACTCTGACCTGTGGTTTGTAATAACCTCCCACTAACTTGTATGTAAATCTTTGAGTTTTCTTCAATATCGGAAACCTCCAGACCTATGAAAGTCTATAAAAGACATGTTCCCTTTAGTTCATTCCTTGTCCAGTCTGTGTTTCTTCTCCTGTTTGATCCATAGTTTTCAAAAGATGTATGCAGCATGAAGACATTGCATTTGGCATGCCACTATCTTCAATCATGTCTTTGCCCCATTCCAGTTTTTGGTCAAAGAAAGCTAACTAGAAGTGAACCTTTAACTCCTGCCAGGCATATAAGAAGAATGGAGACATAACACTACACTGAAATTTTTATGGATTATTTTCAGAAGATATGTTCAGGTGTTAGAAAGCATGTGTGTTAATCAACATCTACAGTTTATCCTGAGAGCATACATCTATTCTCTGACGATATTCATGACTGACTGACGCAGGGTTTGGTTGGGGTTTTTTTCCTCTAGTCTTGTCTTTGACCATCTGGCTCCATCATCAGTGTTTTTTGAATTCCATTTGTGGTTTCTCCCTGAATCCCTACATCTAAATTAAGTCTACCACTAACTTCTCTTTTCATGCCTCAAAGCCACCATTAGTGTCTTTTTCATGTCATTCATGTCTGTGTGAGGGATTAGTCTTTGCTGGTGTTTCTTGAGGACAGCAAAACCTTACCATGCTCTTCAATCCTATTCCTCTATTAATTAATTCCTCTTTGATCTAAATGTATATTAGAAGGTAATTAAGTTTCACTGTTTGCTTTTTCATCTATTTGTGTTTATCTGCATAGCAGTTAAAATGCATACTTAAACTGAAAACAGCCTTCTTCCCTTTTTTAGTGTTCCACATATATTCAGTATTGAAATCCTATTAAGAAATCCTAGAAAAGGATTAGTGGTAGAGTGAGTTCAGGTAGTGTAAGGTGAATGACAAGTACAGGATAGAATATAAATTCACAGTTGGCCTTGCAGTTTGTTGCATAGATATAATTTCCAAAATTATCTTCAGTATAATACATTATAGTTATTATTCAAGTCAGGAGTGTTATATCAAAGCCGTGTTTTCTTTTTTTCTTAAAGAGGAATAGAATTTGCTACTTTAGAGGTATGTCTATATCAGGTCTTATTAACTGTTCTTTATTACTTGAATTTTTATTGCTGTTCTTGTGGTTTGTGTATGCTCTTGTTTGAATGAGAGCAAATGTAAACATGAGTGATGAGTCTAATGAAGCTCTTGCAGTTGCAGTTTAGTAACAGGATCCTTCCAGCATGACTTACAGTAGAAAAGAGTTACTGAGTGCTTCTATAGTAGTGCTGTTGGCTGAGCTGCCCATTTTACTATTAAAAGTGTTGAGAAGTCTTATGGTTTAGCAACAGAGGGACTAAGAGCTTGGTGAAAGAGACATAAGCAAAATTATATTGCAAAGAAAATTAGAGTAACTCCAGATATTTGTGTGAAAAGGTATGATAAAGGTAACAAAGTATTATATAATTTGCTTTAAGCATTGCTACTCCTTATCCGAAAGGTATACTCTGTTAGTGAATTGGATTTACAAAGTACTCATTAGCTGAAGATGATAAATGTTTTCCCAAATAACAGAATGTTTGTGGAATTGGAAAAAAAAAATCAAAACCTGCATAGTTTTGTTCTTTTTAGGCCTTTCTTTTTTTACTTTTGAGAAAGGTATAGGAATAGTACAAGTTTTTCAGCTAAGGGGAAAAAAGAAAACTCAGACTAAAAAGTGAGAATGAAGTATTTTGCTATTCATATCACTTTCTTGTATAACACAGCATGTAGCATCATGTTTTAAAGTAATAAAAGAAAGAACAGCTTAGCTTCTAAACCTTGAAATGAAAATTTGCAATTTCACTTGAATGGTCTTGACAGTTGTTTCAGGACTGGCAATCTTAGTGCAAGAAATGAACTAAGAATACTGACATAAAGCCACCAGAGAGTCCCTGAGTGTTGAAGAGAAAATGATAAGGCAATCACAGGCAGCTCCTCAGAAGTTAAAGCCATTTTACATAGAAAGAGCTCAAAGGATTAATCTCTTCTACTTGAAATCCTGAAGTATAGTGGTAATAATTCTAGTATTCATGGTCATTAAAATAAGATTTCACAAGTAGTCCGAGGAAATAAATACGTTATGCATTATTTTTCAAAAATCTCTCTAACTCTGAAAATCAGCCATGGGCTACAGAACAGGAACAATACTGAAATACCAATGAAGCTTGAAAATTTCTGTGTTTTCTCTTTTTTGGCTTTGTTTTGTGAGAGGAAAGATTTGCTCAAGGAGATAGTATCCTACACTAGACTAACTAATGTAGCCAAGGGAAGAACAGATAGGTTTCTACCAGACACACTCTTAAAAGCCTGCAAGAATTTCTTTGATACTGAAAAATAAAGCATGACAAAAACTTTAAATTCATAGTTCATGTCATGCTGTATTCTTGTTCCCACATTAACGATGCTATAATTATTAATATTATTAATATCAAGCTGATCCCATATCATCTTTGTTGTCTATGATTTATATTAATTTGTATGTGGTACCCTTCTGTTCATACCAGTTCTCAGATTAGCCAACATTCTTACTAATGGTCTAAAAATTCAACATCACTGGTGCTGTGCATTTGCAGGTGGCAAAAATTAAGAGTTGAAAATAATGATAATGGCAATCACTACTAAAGAACGTAGCAGTCATAACATGATTTAATGGTTGGAAATTAATATTAGAAGAAGTTAAGGGGAAATACTGTCTAAAGAGTGAAGATAAGAAATTGCATCATTGAGTAGGGGATGTAGAAGCTTCTCCATAATTTTAGTTCTTTAAATTAAGACAGGATGTCTTGCTGAAAAATATGCTGTACTTCAGATACAATTCATTGGGCTTAATCGAGGTTTTTACTGTGTGACAAATCTTTGTTCTTTG